GCTTTTTTTTTTTTTTGGTATGCCATGTGGTATGCCGTGGCAGTTGGCAGAAGCCAGTGGCAAAGCATTCGTCAACTGCAAAATCCTGAAAACCCAGAGCCACAGCCCTTTACTTGCCTTGACTGCTAAGAAAGGGCAAAGTTGACAGCAACCCTAGCTGCCTGCAGGACTGCAACATGATTGTCAGCACCGGTTTCTCTTCACAGGCTGAGCGCCAAATCAATCTCTGGGACATCCGCCGCCTTGCTGGTTTCGGGGACCTGGGGATGCTGCAAAGTCACAGGGAGGGAGCATTGTAATGAAACGGCGCCAACCGCATTTGGACACGTATCATTCCACAATTTTGAAACCCTAGTCCCGCATGGGTGTTTGTGAAGCCAAGGAAAGCTACCGGCTGATGGCACGGGAGACGTGTCGGCAGTGACCTCCTTGAACGTAGATCAAGGAACGGGGGCCTTGCAGCCTGACTGCAAAATGCTGACCAGTGGCTTTGATGCTGCTGGGCTGGGCCAGTGCCGACCATACAGGAAGGTAAGTATGTACGCCTGAAGGATCTGAAGGCAACATAGGTTTTTGACAGAGTGTAGTTTGGATTTGCTGGTTGCATCCGAGATGGGTTCTTCAAGCATTTTCAGCGGTCTACAGAGACCATAAGTAGGAAGGCGCAGAGGCGAGCAGAGTTTTGTTCCAGCTCCTGACATTCGAACAGATTGTGTTGCCATCCGAGATGCAAAGGTATCCGTACTTCGACCCGGGCACACAGATGCTATACATTGCCGGGAAAGGTGACAGCAACGTTAGGTACTTCGAGGCGCCCTTGACACGCGCAAGACAAGATCCCAGCAATGAAATGCCTGAAGTGGTGTCTCAAGACGATCCTGCAAGAACCGAGACACGGAAAGGGGAGGGAGTTGAATTCTTCAGTCAGATGCAGATTTTGATTCAGGATGCTGTAGTAGTAGTAGTAGTAGTAGTAGTAGTCGTGGTGGTGGTGGTGGTGGTGGTGGTGGTGGTGGTGGCGGTAGTAGTAGTACTGGTAGTAGTGGTAGTACTGTGGTGGTGGAAGAAGAGGAAGTAGTAGTGATAGTCACAGTAGGAGCAGTAGTAGCAGTAGAAGGAGTAGCAGTAGCAGTAGTAGTGGTCGTTGCATAAGGCACCAACATGTTAAGGTGTGGACACACCAAGAGGTTTTGCTTCAAGTCGCCGAAGCTGGCCACATGCTATGTCATGCGCTCGCTTGTGACCCGTTTCAGCCCTGTGGAGCTAGACGAGTCTACTACTTCTCTTGCAGCTTGAAGGGGGACCTGATAACCCATCTTTGAGAGCATCCGATTTCCAGTGACCAGTGTATCCATGCTCGAACCACAACAAGAGATAACAAGGTCCATGTGCAAGAGCATCCAATTTTCAGAGCAGATGACGCGCATTTGTACACGCTCCGTGTTTAAAGTAGCTTTTCCTTTCTGCTCCAAGCAGCGAAGGCTCAGCACCCTCAAAGTGTTTTCCGGCGAAATGCTTGTGTTGGTCTGAACTTGCAGCGCAACCGCCTCATTTGTTGCTGCCTGATATCTCTCTCCCTCCCTTCCCCTCCGTCCCTCCTCTCTCTCCCTATCTTGCTCTTGCTCACTCTTTCTCTCGCTCTCGCGCATTGCAAATCCTAGGCAACGCTTGCAACAAGCCGACACTGCCCGGGGGAGTGTGTGCTCGTGCCAACGTTCCGACCCAGCAGAAGTCTGAAGATCTATCCGCTCAGCTCTTGGCGATGGATTACGGTTCTTCCTGCCAGCCGCGTGGTTTGTGTCTTTAGGTCACCATGCAAAACCGCAAGGCCCATCAATCCCAATTGAGAGATCTAGGACAAGTTGAGCTACCTTCACACACGCTGCTACTCATACCGGCTTGCTTTTGTACCTCTTATTCCAGGTTTCTTCCCTGGTTGAGGTGGTCTTTAGTCAGTTGCCCACCAACTCATCCTCGTAGACCTCGGCGGGACCTCAAGCAGTACCAGTAGCAGTACCGCTTCTTTTACCGGTAGTACAGAAGCAGAAGCAGAAGCAGCGGTAGTCGTCGTCGAGAATCACGCCAATAGCCGCCACAACTGTTGTTGGAGATGCTAGGACCGTATTAGTCTTTGCATGTGCAGGTAACGAATGGAGACCCCTTCCTCCACTACCTCGAGGCTCTTGCACAATTGGTTTCATCCAAAATACATGGTAGGGAATGATGATCAATTAGTATTGGAGCTCCGAAGTCTGAGTTTTCAGGGGCAGCCTTTTCAGTAGGCTGGAAGCGAGTCAGCAGTTTTTGCTCATGCGCCCAGATCGTGAATGCACCTTACCGTTTCTTGTTGGCCTCGAAGGGTGCGGCCGAAAGTCTTGTAAGCAGTCCTACCACAAATCTGCATGCAAAGGACCCAGCACGATCCACATATGGCCTATGTGAGATGCTGTTTCGGGGGTCTTGAGAGCATATATGCCCTTCGCCCGGTCAACAATCTTAATCTTCCCACAGTACCGAACTAGGTTCCTTCGGTGCCAAACCCTAGACTCTGCCCAACCACAGAAACCAACCCGAAAGTGCCCCAGATTCCCTTGCCCAAATTCAGACTGCACAGCACCATGTCAAAAAGCTCAAACATCAAAGGTTTTCAACCAGTGTTAGGATGCCAATGCTCGAAGTGATAGCTTCTTTTGTTAATGAAGCCTGCAAAGGCCTACAAGTCCACAGTGCCGCAGAAAGGCTGGGACTTCCTGCCAAAGCGATGCGTTGATGCCTCTAGTCATTGCAAAGCACCAATTGCCATCATCTTGCTTGAATGGTGAGGATAGGTATAGTCATACTTACAAGTTTGCGGTGCCTGCTAGTAGTGGTGGAGTATAGTCTCAGTATAGTGATTTTTGTCCTCATCGATATGGAGGACGTGTCTTTGTTGCCTCATAAGTTGACTCATAAGTGCTCTTGCTGGGGATGATTACTGACAAATTGGTGAGAAGTGTATGGTACCTTTGCCTGTTGCCCGGTCTGCAACATTCCGGCAGACTTCGCTTTGTAACTTCCATGCGTATCAGATGGTCTTGCTACAGCTACTGGAAGAAGCGGTCCAGTCGCAGCCTGCATCATCACCACGTTCTCAGAAGTATGGACTCTCGCACGCCGTGAGCCATGGCTTGCTGAGGTTAGCGTCCACGAAGTCATGCGCGGGCTCAAGCTTGAAACTAGCTCCATCCAGCTACTTGGCGGCCTTTCTCGGGCTTTCGATTGGTAATGTGCACTTGGATAGGTTGGATGTAGCGAGATTGGATATGTCTTTTTTCCCGCAACTTTGTCATTGAGATCTCTCGCCAAGGTGGGCCGCAGGCTGTCTAGTCACGCTGAACAAGCCTCCATGCATTGCATCCCATGTTACCATTGATTTGTACAGGGTATATAGTCCAGACAGCGTATTAAGCAATCTCAGATTGAGAGCAGCAGGGGCAGGGGAGAAAGCTGAGGCCGGTGTCCTTCCGGGTCCCCCGGAAGAGCGAAGCCTTCCAGGAGGCAAGTACACGCACGGCAATTTTACAAATCATGAATCAGGGCACTGCTGTCGATCTTGATTTTCTAATTGATGGTATTCGCATAGGCCACGGCCACGCTCCTGCAGGGAAGCTGCTAGCTGCTGTACAGATTTCTTAGCCGCAGCTCAACAACGGCCCTCTCACCATGGGTTTTCCAATTTGTCAAACAGCAAGAGGACATCTTCCCTGACTGCGCCGCTGGCATCCCGAACATGACCGCCGATGACTGGGTGTCTGGCCAGGAATGCAGACCTCCCACTCTGACCTCCATGAGGCACACTTGGGGCCGCAAGGTTTGTGTTGAAAATCTGGGGCAGGTGGGGAAGTGCTTGGTGAGCAAACTTCGCCACTTTCATGTGGGTTTGAAGCCTAGCTCAGACGTCTGGTTTATTGAGGCGAAGGATATTGGAACCCCAACTTGCGAAATTTTTGAAGGATGCAGTAGATGCGAAGGCTGCAGTTGTTGAGGCAGCTTTCCGTATCCAGCCCTGTGGTGCAACTGGAGCAGAAGCAAAGCGCTTCCCTTAATCTTACTTGGCTTTGTCGTATGCGCGCCAATGCTGGATTGACTGGATGGAGTCTCTTCATGCGGTGAGGCCGGGGGCAATGCGTACGCAGGGCAACACGAGCAGCGCTCCTGCAGTCGTGTCTGTGAAGGACCTGAAGAAGCAGCTGCTTGGCGTAGTGCCTGCCAAAATTGTGTACGCTTCTTCTGTACATTGGGGGCAAGATTCATGCTTCGCAGACTAGATTTCCGTTTTGGGTCTTCTATGCGATCAGTATGGTAAGCACAGTGCTCCACTCTGGTAGAGATAGCGGTCCGCTCTACGGCTGCGCCGGGGTTTTGACATGCGTCAAAGCGAATGTGTATGGATTGCATGAGTCAGTAACCGTTGCCGTAACCGACTTAGTTATTGCTAGTGTTTTTCGTTCCTTTGCACGAAGGTTTGAACGTGTCGTTTTTCCATGTTTTTCCTGTTGGTTTGGCTGTGCTTGTTCTTGTCGGTGCTGCATGTACTTAGGCTGGCAGAGGCCCAGGAGCGCATCAAGTCCCTGGAAACGGAGAACGCGGCGCTGAAAGAGGAGCTCGCAAAGGCGAAGGCCGGTTAACTGCGTCCTGGCCTTGCGGCCTGGAGAAAGCCTTCTATAGACAGGGTTTAAGTTTAGGAATTTGACGGAGATCTAGGGCATCAAAGTTGTGGTTCAGGATCTGGAAGTCTACAGTCAGCAATGTGGTAGTGCAGTGGAAACAAGAAGCTCCACTCCATGTGGGACCGTGAACATCGATGAGTAGTAAAGTGCAAGACGCAATCGGCAGATCATGCATGTTCTTGTATGGGTTATTTTCTATTTGCAGGAGGAACGGCAGCAGCAACACATAACAATGCTCTACTTTACAACAGCATGTTTGGCGTGAGTTTTATCATGTTGCGAGGGATTTGGAACATTTAGGCATTGAGGTTCTGTGCGTTTGGCCCTAACTCATACGCAAAAGCATGGTAGATGTGGTGCAGTCTTCGTTTCAGCTTGATTAGTTGAGCATTACCAGCAATGACAGCTGCTCATAGCTATATGCCGCGAAGCAAGCTTTGCTGCGGGCTTACTGCAATGGCTTAGCTTTCGTGCGGGGATCCCAGATGCTTTCTCTTGGCACGAGAGGCTGAGAGTGCTGTCTTCACCCCTTGGGGGGGTGATTTTCCACGCAGACGGGATGCGCTGAGCGCACTCCTGCAATCAATATCATGCCGCAGCAGTCGCTGCGTGTTGCTTCTGCTTTGCTTCCTCCGATCACGGCACGATACTACTATCGCCCAAGGGGTATGCATCTAATCTTGCGGTGTCGCAGATGGAGGGTGAAGCGGAGACACATCGTGAGCTCACATGGTGAGCTGCAGGGGTCAAGCCTGGTCTTACGCAGGCTTGCACCAGATGCCATTTTCTCTGTCTCTTTAGTATGTTAGACTTTGCCTCGCCACTGGCTTATCTTGGTAGCATCCAGCCACAGTACTTGGGCACAGAGTTGTGGATGTCAAAGTCTTATCGAGACTGTTGGTTCGACCCCTCTGCGAGTTGGTTAAGCGATGCAGGGAGAGAACTTAAGCAATGGTGCAGCAATGGTGCAAGAAGTCAGCATGTTGTGGGAGAGTGGGGCTTTTTTCTGAAGGATGTTTGCCAGTCAGGCTTGGCCTTGAAGACTCTTTGCCTCTTCTCAGTTGTCGTTGCCTCTGCCACACAATGGTTCAAATGTAGGGCCCAGCCACCTGGTAGTGCGTATGTTTGCGAGACTTTGCCGCCTGGCAATTATCAAGGAGAGGGAGCATGGCCTCCCCAGAATTGGGTCCTGAAGTAGATGATTTTTGTGCGTAAGCTTGGCGAATCATGCTTGGGATAAGCCATGTGGCATGGCATTGCAGGCACCTAGATAGTGAAGGAGAGGCAAAAAGCCAGGATTCGCAGTCCCACAATATCTGTTTAGCGCAAGCTTGTCCTTGGTCTGTGCGAGGGTTTCTCTTTGATTAACATATGGGTTTCCTGATATCTGCAGAAGATTGACATTTGGACTTGCGCTGTTGCTTCGATTCATTTCTTCCATCCTTGAGGCCAAACCTTCACCTGAGGCAGCCGCCGAAGGTGTTTCCGTGTAGGCCTGCCAGGGTTTCGATGCAATGCCAGCTCCAGGGAAAGTCCTTGGGTTTGGGGGACCTTACAATCAGCATTGCAATGTTGTCAGGCCATGACTAGCTGGGGTAGAGGGCTTCAGGTTTGTGCGTGGGGTTCGAGCTGACTTCAGGTCAAGACTTCACAGGTGGCTTGGAGTTAGCCTGAAGCCTAGAACAGTAAGCAATCCAGCCCCTTGATTCGAGACCTCTGGAACAAGACCCTTGATACCTGGAAGCCGGTGACCCGAAGCTCGGACGCTTCCAAGAATACAAACGCAATGCGAGTCATTTCAGTTCTCGTCACAGCTGTGCCAGCGCTTCTGTCACAGGTCCTTTGTGAGAATACTTTGCAATTCATATCCAAGATGTGCAAGGAGAAGAGCGCTCGCAAGAAAGGTTTAGGGTTGTAGTTGGAAGTTGCTGAGATGCGCCTTCTCCTCACTGGGCTGCTGGCTGTCGCCTGGGCCAGTGTGGTGCGGCGCGAGGCCCGGGTGAGGATAAGTGGTGTTACTAATGGTCACCTTCAAAGGCATAGAAGTGTCGTTCTCATCATTCTGTAGTGCTATTGGGGCACCGAGGCGGCTCTCAGTAACATTCCGCCAGAGCTTTGAAGATACGTTACTCGGCTTGAGTGGGTAAGGCCCAGCCATGAGCGCTGAGTGCAAGAATCCTGGATGTAGAGGGCTTAGAGGGCGAGGTGGGGGCAAGATGAGCAGATATGAGCATGCTAGACGAGTGAGTGCTAACCGTTTCGTGGCAGGGCCGGGGCCAGGGCGACCAGGAGGCGACTTCTTCGTTTGCAGCTTTGTGGGTGATGCATCGTTGCACTTATAGCGCTTCCCAGTCCCACTTTCTTGCACAGAGCCAGAAGTGAGCTGTCTCTGAGGCTTCACTGACGAGTCTCAGTAGGAGTGAATGCTCATTTTGGGAACGAAACGTCAAGGGCATTGCTGAGAGGCTCAGAGCAACGGCGGGTACGATGCGGAGGCCCACCATGTCGACACTAATTCACGTATGTTGGCTGATTGCCACGAAAAGCAATGGCTCCGGCGAACAGTTAATGTATAAACAAACCAGCAGCAGCCAACTCATAACTTCACAGCGCAGAAGGTTGAGGGTAACAGAGGCAGGGTGAATGTGTCCTGGGTCCCAGTCTCGTGAAGGCGGTTAAATCTAGGATGAAGCAGTTACAGGTGCGCGGGGCTGCCACCCGTTAACTACTACAGCAAGAGGTTTAGATGCTGGTGTCTCTTGGGTCCTGCGGTTTCCCGTCTAGATGCATTTGCCTACTGGATTTTGCCCCTGAGGCAAAGTCAGAGCATGTGCATTCGCAAGCCTCTCAATCATCCTCTGCAGTTTGTTGAGGCCACCTTGCGCAAGGACAAGGAGGAGATGCCGCACAAGGTGAACGGCCGGTACATGCGTCAACATCCTTGCCCAATGGCCTCTTCCGAAGCGTGCAGGTGCAGAGGCGGCCCTTCGCAAAGAGGTCTTCGCCAAAGACGCGAGGCGTTGGCCTCTCTGTTGGGTTCGTGTTGGAAATTGGAATAAGCAGCCATAATGGCGCCGGGGCATTCTTTATGTTCTTCACGATGCAAAAACCGTAATGCCAGAAGCTGTAGAGGCTCGGACCTTCTCGATGTCTGTGCTATTGCAGATGAACGGACCCGGGCTTACCGGCGTTTCGGCTCGAGAGGCACCAGGCAGATAAGCTTGCGTGTCTGTGCGTGGTCTGCCGTGGAGTTTGCGAGAATCACCTCGTGAGCTCACATCAGCCGCATGGCTTCCCAGCTGGTGCCGCAAAAGCCTTCTGCACCTCGTGCACGCCCTCAAGCGCCACGCAGGCATGTAGTGTTGACTACGGCTTCACAGGTACAGGTGCAAAGACCAAACTCCTGTCCCTCCATCGTGCCAACATTCTCCGAAACCGGGCGTCCCGTAAGCGTGCAGTCCATGCCAGACTTGAAGAAAAGGAGGGTGACCATTCAAGAGACCCCTGACATCATCCTGTTCCTGGCGCTTCCGGAGGAGGCTACCAGTAGATTGCTTCCTCCTGTTCGACCACTGGCTGCCATTCTCGAGGAGTCCACAGATTCAGGGTCCCCAAGCGCGACGCTTCCTCGTGTGGAGGATGCCCCGCCTCCACCATCTCTGTCACCTCGGCTGCTCCCAGCCGGGCGGGCCGGTCTGGGAGGCCTCAGGGCCCTCGTTGCAGAATCCTGGCTTAATATGGAAGGTTTTGAGAAGTCTTCATTCTACATGGGACTGTGAAAGCCAACCAAGGACAGGGAGGCAGCCACACTGGCGAAGCTTTACCACAGCTTCTAAGACGGCATCTGTGACGGCCACGAGAGAACCAATTTGTACGCCATCGTACGACTTGGAATTGTTGCAGTGTGCAACAAGGGCTCAACTTTGGCTTGTGCTCAAATTTACTTCGGATTGTGCTTCGCCAGAGATATTCTGGACGGGCATTCCCCGAACCTTTATAGACCACAACCTTTATAGACCACAATCTTTATGAAAGGAAGGAAGGGAGATGGCTTTTGGCAAGACGGAATCCTCTGCATTTTGCATTGAAGCTCCTTGAGCGTGCCTGTCCGCGAGGCGATTTGTTGGTACCGTAGCTTACACATTCCTAGCGATGCAGCATGGTCATGTTCACCTCTCCTGTTTCAAGTGCATTGGAATTCAGCACAGGCTTGTTACGATCACGCTTCCTTCAGCTGACAGGGGTCGACCCTGCTGTGTGTGATGATCAGTAGTTCGTAATTGAGGTCTTAGGCATATCTACTTCTTTCCTTCCTTGCTTCCTTCCTCTGGCACCGTTAATCAAGACGAGCGCCCATGCGCACCAGGCATCCTGACTGAGGCTGTTATCAGCAACAGGACGTCCAAGTCATCCAGGTTCAAGACCTTGGCAGGCTTCCTCTTGGACTGTGTCGCAGCTGTAGCACTCAACAGCCATCAGAAGATTGCGCGCTAAGTCCGTGCTGGCAACTGGTCGTCACAGTAAAAGGACATGCTCGCTTTGGATTCCTGGAGTTCTCATTTTATACACCTGCACAAGACGAAGCAGCATCTTATGTGCACCTCCAAGGTCGGCCCAAACGTCTATTGTTGGTGCTGTTGATCGCTGTCTCCAAACCATTGCTCCTTGCTGCTGCCCCAAATGATCGGAGAAGATTGCCTTGGGTTTTTCCGCTGTTTCCGTTGCGTGCTGTGCGTGCAGATAGCTTAAGCAAGTTGTGGCGTAAAGGAATTCAGTCCTGCAATTCATGCAGGCAAGAAGCAGACGTCAAAGGTGCATCGCATCCATCCCCCAGAGGTGCAAGCTTCGGCTCGGGGGACGCAATCTGAAAGATTGATATACCCACACAAGGTGTGGAATGGAATCGTGTCCAGTCTGCAGAATTCTGATGGGGCAGGAGGTGGAGTGTTCATTTCAAGTTTGGATTCGGCACTCCTCGAGACCAGGATCTAGGTCGGCACGATGCTCTGCATCATGGATTGATGACTGGTGTATTCTCATTCATGCCGCGCCCAAGCGACTTGTTCAAACCTTACCACGATCGTGATTTGAAGAGCCAGGCAAAACTTGTATTGGTTGCGCTAAGTGTGCTAGGAACCAGCGTGCCTCCCGAAGTCGCGACTGAGACTCACGATAAGAGGGCAAGAGAAGAAGAAGCTGTGGTAGGGCACACGATACTGAGGCTTCTGATCTGATGTAGTTACTAGCTAGCCTGGGCCACGAGTCCAACTGCCCTGCCAGGTTGAAGCTTGGACCTTCCTGGAGCTAGGTCAGGAGACCCACAGGCGAACGCGGACGATTTTGGTACAGTAGCAGTAAGGGCTGGAGACTCATTGAATGATTTGACGGAGGGTCGTAGGCGCGAATTGGATCGAAAGCTCAAGGTCTGGAGTCTGAGAGAATTCAGATGAGAATTTTTGGATCACCCCTCACATGTCTGGTCCGCAACCTGCCCTGCCCAAAGACAACATAAATTTGGGGCGGAGTTTCAAGATGGGACCCTATCGAATTTCCAGGAAGCGACGGATGTGATTTGCCGGCGGGCGCAGGGAGAGGAGAGTTCACACTGTAGCGCTTTTTCATGAGACATGGCTCATAGTGTTGAAATCTCGGTGGGCCTAGGATGTTGGTCCAATCAGTTGTTACCAGTGCTTGCTTCCGACCTCCGGGTGTAAGCTCAAGAGACCCATAGGTTTGATCGTGCGTCAGCTAAGAGGATTTCGAATTCGGTTCTGCATCTAAAGCCCTGACTGTCACCTGCTCCTGCCGGAGCAGGTCTCAGTGGTCCGGCGAGTGGTCCAAGAGGGCCAGGCCACAGCATAGTGAGGCCCATGCTGGAAGGGGGCGAGGTCAAGGTTGAAGCTTTGGGAGCTGTACTTTTCAGTACAGGCTTCACAACTCCATCTCCTGGTCGTATATTCAGTAAAGTCCATGGCCTTAGTTGTTGTTGTCGAGATTCGAAGGATGTCATCTGTATCGAAGGGGATAATGTGCAAGATTGAGCTTCCTTAGCCACCTGCGCGTGCGAACGTAGCTGGGGTTCTGTTCAGGCATTCTAGGTTTTTGTCGTATAAGTGGCAGAGAAGGTGGACATACAGAACCTGTGTGCTACATTGGGCAGGGACGCTTGCATGCCTTACCTGAGCAGGAGGAGTCTGAGACAGAGGAGCTCGCGCACAAGGCATGGCAGCGAGTCCAACCAGCAATTTCTCCATGAACTCACACGCATGAGGAGGAGCCGGATCAGAACGAAGACGAGGGTTCGGACGACACCCTAAAGGAGGACTGTGGCCCAGGCTTCAGGTCCCACACATTTTGCATATATATATATTTTTATATGTAGAAGATTTTTTGATGTGCGTAGAGGTCGTGTTGGTTCATCCATGTTTTTCAGCGAGAGATGTGAGGGCATGGGTCGGAGCGCGGGTATAGATCATATGACTTCACGCAGCGGTCAGAGGCAGAGGCATCACTAAAAGTTTCTTCTGAGAGTTCTGGAGCTAGCCTACCAATAAAACTAGGTGTGCTTGAGGTTGGCGCGCGCCTTGAACGAAGAATACTGTGCATTTTTCGGGGCAAGCTTCTTCGAGCAGGACGAATCCAACGCGAATTCTGAGGCCGAGGACCAGGCAGATCGGGCTGTGGAAGACAAGGAGATGAAGGAGATGCAGGGCACGTGAGGAAGAATTGGAAGGAATGTTTGTGATCCCCAGCAGGGATTGGGTTTTGGGAGTTTTTGATTTGAGGATTTTTGTTTTTTTTTTGAGTGCCACAATCCGAAGCCTGCAGCCCTGCGGCGTTACAGAATCCCCGGTAAGCTCAAGTGAATGTAAGAGCTTGAAGGCTACCATCAAACCGCTGGCATAGAGAGTCGGACGAGCTACTCATCTGCTCGTATCCCCAACAAGAATTGGATGATTTAGGATTTTTTTCCTTCCTCACCGTCGCAGGAGACAGGAAAGGGTGAGCCTGGAGGTCAAGGAAAGGAGGTGACCGAGGAGGAGGATGCAAACGCCATGAATCCACAGGAGCTTGGGGCAGAGGTGTTTACTTATGCGGATGCGTACAGCGTTATGTGAAGAGTTTCGGTTGTTGGGATGTGTAGCGGAAGCGCTCCCACGAGGCGCCCGATAATTGTTCAAGTCGTGTTGCTATGCTCCTTCTCTGTGTCGTGCGTCGAAGCCTTCTCAGAATCATCGGGCCTTTCCTTTGGCCACGATCATGTCTAGGTCCAGAGTGCTGGATCTCAGGAGGCTCGACCTTCCTCAAGTCCAGCTCACTATTTCAAGTCACACGGTTCCGAATCGTGACTTGAAGACTGCCAGGATCGCATGAAACTTTGATGAGATTTGTATTGGTCAGTCGGCGACTGTTATTCAAAGCTTGATTCCGGGGAATCTTGAATGTCGTTGCTTGGGTGCCTGTTGGCACTGACTGTAGCTTCTGGGCTTTCTTCTGTGATTGTCCTTCGATGCTTTGTGTGGTGTGCGGTATGTACTAGTGCACAAGGTCTTCTGAGCTGACAGGACCCTAAAGGGGAGGGCGAGAGGACGCAGGACAGCTTTTTTGCATCTTTCCTTGGGGCCAGCTTAGGATGTTCAGACCACCACAGGACGCAGGAAGCGAGGATAGCGAGGATGATCAAGACAAGGAGGCACTGATCGTGGTTCAGTTGCTTGTACAATTCTGTGCATCTACTTGCTCTCACAAGTTCCTATCTGCGATGTAAATGCCCACGCGAGAGAAGCTGACATCACATCGCGGGGATGTGCGTGCCACCAATTATGTGCTTCCTACAGCTATCTTTCTGTTGTTGCTGCCGCAGCTAATGTTTTGCCGATGGTGTTTGTTTTCTACTGGGGAGCATTTCCCCCAAACAAACGACAAGGTTCCAGGTGATGATGTTGACAGGTTCAACAGAAGGACAACTTCCAGTGTAGGCTTCCTTGGAAGGGTTCTGTCCGCTCCGGTTAAGTGCGCTCTCGTTTCATTTTTGGTGCTTGGAGGCTCTTGTTACTTTTGGCCTTGCAATTTGCTATGCATGTGCCTACCCTAGTCTATTCCTCATACTCGCGACTGTTCGCTGCTACATACGCCTTTTGAACTGCCATCCTTATATTATGATTACAACCGTCATTTCTTTGGGTACAACCGTGAGAGGCTGAACAACGCAAAACCGAACGAGCACTACTCTTGTTGATAATCCGTACATCGGCTGAAGGTTGAAAGTTTTTTGGGGATACATCACTTTTGCGGATCGTGTCATAATGCGTCGGCTGATGAACCTCTTGGCAGCAGCTATGGTCCTTGCAGCATGCTTGAGTTTCGCTAGAAATGAAAGAGCCTTGAAGGACCCTTGAGAAGTCAAATGGGACGGGTGAGAGCCCGACTTGCTAGAGAAGCCCAAGAATATTTGACTCAGGCAAGTGCGCGGATTCTAAACGTATGATGTGCCGTTTAGAGCCCTATACCCCTTGGCCTTTTCCCTGTACGTAGATTGATCATCTCTGCAAGGAAGAGTCTTCATGAGGGAAAGGGCACTGAACACGTATATAGGGAAGCCCTGAAGCGCCAGAGGATGGGGAAGAAAAGGGTGGCGCAGAAGCACTGATGAAGCAAAGCGACAAAGAGCTGCTCAAGGACAGTGGCTAGGTGAAGCTTTTCAGACGCACATTTTGAGGCTCTATCCTTCCTCTCTGGCAGCGACATGTAGTGACAATGTAGCGAATTGACTGCTTGAGCCTGTTGTGCACTGACAACAAGAGGAGTTGGTTGCGGCTGCCAAGTGGTCCGGCCA